GTGCAGGTCCCCCCCCTCCCCCTCAGGAGTGCATGCTGCCACTGGGAGCTGGCCCCACCCGAGCCTGCAGCAGGGGAGAAGCTGGCTCCTGCTGTAGCAGGCATTGCCTTCTGTAGGGGGCAAGGGGTTGCAGACCTGGGTCCCTGGCTCCATAGCCCTGGCAGCTGGGGTGGTCCCCTCCAGTAGGGCTGGGGGGGGCAAGGGACACAAGCAGGCAAGCAGAGCTGGGGAGGAAGTGAGGGACACCAACAGGGTTGTGCGGGGCATTTAATTTTAACCATGGATTTTGAGATTTTTTTAATCTGAGAATTTGTGATTTTTTTTTTTAATCATGGAAAACCAGGATCCCCGATTATCAGCAACTATTTATACTGGTCTCTGGATCAGGAAAATACTACATTCCTTTCTAAGATCTTTACCAACAATGCTGGGAAGATGGGGTTTTTTTGGATTCTCCCAGATACCCAAATATAAAATTCCAGTCAAAAATATCCCCCACTTACCATTAGCTCCAGTAACTTCAGAACTGTATCTAAATTTACAATATTATGGTACATTTAGTCTGTGGTAATTCATTTTTTTGTTTAGAAAGGCAAGCCCTTAAGGCTGCAATAGCTAAGGAGTTATACTGAGTAGTTAGTTGTGTTTCACACCTTTCTTCAACTTGAGTATTAGCTCTCAAGCAAGCTTATGTACATAAGCTGAGTGCAAGTCAAACCACAAAATAAAGCACTTTTCACCCTGTCCAGACATTTGCAGAGGGAAACAATGTTATGAAGTGAAATTATTCGACTCCTTCAGCTACACCAGAGATGTCAAAAATACAGTCCAAGGTGAGTGCTGCATGTGGTACCTGCTTATGGCCAGTCCATAACAAGTGCTGCATGTAACACCCATGCTGGGTTGATATGGGGTAAGTAATGGATCCAAACTGCATCACACCACTCATCCAGCCCATGGACTGGCCCCACACTATTCACCTGGTTAACAGGGCCTGATAAGACCAACACCTCTGAGTCACAGCTATTTAGTAGTTTCATGACTCAGCAAATTGTAAGTATTCTAAAGTTGTCCATATCTATCCCAATAAGAGAAACAATCTTTCCAGATTCCAGTAGTAGCAATAATTTTATTTACTTTTCTAACAACAGGCATAGGTCAGAGATTGAAATATCAAGTGCTTTTAGGTTAGCATTAATGGAAAGTAGGGAGCCAGCTTAGTGGAGCTGGCCTAACAAAACAGAATAGTTAGGTTTTGTTGTGTAAAAAAGGCAACCTGTAGCAGCTTGTGGCAATAACTTCAACCTAATGAGGAAACTAAAACTTTTTCAGTATTTGTCACTAATAAGGTACAACAATCCTTAATATCAATCCCCTTATCTATTGAAAGCTTGGAACCTGCTTTTTAACTTCTAGATACCAAATACCTAACAACAAAAACAACTACTTTTTATTCTTTGACTAATGCAAAGCTTGTTCTTTGCTCCACCCCAACTAATGGTGGCACTGATCTTCTGTCACAACTGTGCTTCCTACCACAGGGTAATCTCAAGATCCTTCCCCTCTATTAGGGAAAAAAAAGGGTAGGATCTTGCCTTTCTATGCGTTTCATGGTGCCGAAATGGCACCGGCTGTCATGAAAGACCTAGATTCTAAGTACATTAACTGTACCAAGAGCTTTGAATTTAGCTTACTGAAATCCCCTTGTGTGTAACATTAACATTTCAGAATACAATGATTACCTACTAAGTTTAAGATGGAAGATCCAGTTACTGACTGAACAGGCAACTATTGTCTTTGATAATGAAATTGGTATTTAAATGCTCCTACTCACAAGAGGTTTTTAAAGCTCTACCATCTTCAGCCATGGTATGAGATCACATGAAAGCTCATCTACTTCAGCTTAATTAGCAAGTACTTCATTATGCAGACCTTCCAGTTTGTCCAGTGAGCTACACCTGCTACATACCTGCTTTACTTGTTCTTTAATTAGGATTCTGCTTGTGCAAGACTAGCTTAAGCATTCCAAATACTGAAAATATGAATAGCTTTTTATTTTAAGCTGCAACACACACAGTCTTAATACAACACACACACTTAAATCAGATTAAAATAATAAACCAAATCAGCACTAAAACATTTCCATTGGAAATGCGTTAAAATTCACAAGGGTCTTTTAATTACCATCTTACTGCAGTTTTCTTATGCGTTTCTAGTCTATATATCATGTATATCCTGTAGTCATGCAAACGTGAATCAAACTTTAAATGCTCAGGTAATAGGGAAGTCCGTTTACTGCAAAAACTCATATTTCACAGAATAGCCAGCCTATATAAGAACAAAAACTGCAGAATTCTTCATGTGAACATATGCATTTTAGAAGCCATGAACTTTCAGCTGTTCCTCCTTGACAATGCCGATCTGTAAGAGAGAAGTAAGAAATTTCAGTAGTGCTTCTGTACTTAGGAAGAAATTTCTGATGTAGTGGGAGCAGTCTCTTATTCATGGGTAAGAGAATGATACAACAGAAAATTAAAGGCTGCTTTCCAGGTTCTGGAGTGCTATGGTATTACTAAAGTAGCACATTCTTTACTTGATACGAATGTGATATATCTTTATAGTTCTACTTATTAGTCTGGTTCTTCAGAAGACTAGCAAATAACTATATATTTCTTTAGCCCTTCCCATTTATCCTTCTGTTCTGTATTGTTTAAATTCTCCTCCCCAAATGACAGCACTCTGACACTATATACAGTGTTACAACTGAGGAATGGTCTTACTGCAAGGAAAGAAAGAGATCTGCTTTCTATACCTATCAGCAGCAAAGCAAAAGTTTATTTGTAAAAAGTGTTCTTGGAAGGGGAGATACATCTTGCTTAATCTAGTTATCTAGAGTACTAGAGAATATTTTCCTCCATTATCACAATGTCAGAAAAGTCAGAATACCTTTAGGTCAAGAGATAAGAAAACTACATTACAGGTTCAATAGCTGGAAAATAAATTTAATCCCCTTTAAGAATTAAATCTCTGTGCTTCAAAGACATCTAGAATTCTGCAAAAGATTTCTTTGCAGTCCCTCACCTCCAAGAGGAATTGGCAAATGTTCTTCCTCTGATCACCTTGAAGCTGAATTACTTCACCGTATTCAGGATGCTCAATCACAGTACCATTACAAGCAAATTTCTGGAAAGAAAGTCTTGCATAAGACCTCCAATATGAACTACAATTAAGTTTACTGTGGTGTTAAAAAAATAAATACTGAAAGCTATAATTAAGCTACATGCATTTTGTTGATAACCAAGCAAGGGAAAAAGAGGAGAGACTAGATGTACCCTATCCCAGTTTGAAGACACTACAAAATAGTTAACAACACATTAGAACAGCAGCCCTGCAAGAAAAAAACAAAACAAAAAGATGTTCAAGAAAGTAAATTCAGGAGACAGGGTCAGCAAGCTTGCAAGGTGCCTGGAAACACTGGAGACAAAATAAGCGAAGTCAACAAATAAGTGCATGTCACAAGAAAGAAAAGGCTCTTTTCAATTCCTCACAGGTTTCTGTACTTAAAGAGCTTCACTGGAAGACATTCCTACAGACACCCAAATGCTGTAATACCAGAAACCCAAAAGTAAAATTATCAAAGTCAAAAGAAGCTCCAGACAGTGTTAGGAAAGCTTGGAATTAAAATTTGAAACAGACTGGAGCAAAGAAGTTTCCTTAAAAAAAAGCTTCCCTTGTCTTCCTCTGAGCTTCTACCCAGGTGTGTAAATGCACAGCCAGACATCCAAACCAAACAGTTAATTTTTTAAAAAGCAGGTACCGTGTTCTTATTTCCACATCTTTACTTAAATCAAGCTAACAGCTCTACCTTTTTGAAGGCCTTCACAAGTTTCTTTTTGTCATAATCATCTGCAATGCCCTGGACAGTAGTTAGCGTCTTCCTCCCGTTTCGCTGTTGGATCCTTATATGAATGTAATCTTCAGTCCCTGCTGGGAGTAAGTCGTCACCCTTAGTTGCATCAGCAAAGGGGTCTACGGGGAAGAAAAGGGAAACTATTACATACAAAACAGTTTTCATGAAGAAAACCAAGTCAATCCACACAATCAGCAGAGAATTTTCCAGCACTGTAGAGAGCCTGTCCAGGGGAGGGGAGGGGATGGGGGAAGCGATCCTGTAACTCTGATCCTAGGGATTAAATTTAAACAGAAAATTCCCTGCTCTTTTATCCTGGGTAGAACTAAAGGTGTTGCACTAAATCTAGCTAACCCACTCTTTTACTATGTTGCTTTTGGCCAACTGAAACATTTGGCTTAGTTTCAAAAAACTCCTCAAGAAGGTTAACAGCTTGGGGACTGATTTCTCAACTGAAGACTATTCCATCTGATGCAAGGCAATAACCCCTCTGAAACCCAAGCATTAATGGATGCCTCCAAGTTTGGCATCACACAGGGCCTCACACAGAGAGGCTGCTGCCTCAAAACTCTGGCAATCCCTCGTCAGCACAAGCTGTTGGGCTCTAAATGGCTCCTAGCATTTTAAGCACTTCATGGCACACTCCTATAGGACAACGGAGCCAGGGACAATTGCTGGCAGACACAAGAAGGTCTGTGCATGCTAGTGTACCACCATGGACAGGTCATTCAAGGGAAGAGCCACTAGGATTCATGCTGGCCTCAGATGCATAGCTGTGGCTCTCACACTCCCATCATCTTACAATCATAGACAATTAGGTCTAGAAGAGACCTCAGGAGGTCACCTAGTCCAAACCCTGCTCAAACCAGGACCACCCCCAACCAGATCTTTCCATCCAGGGCTTTGTTGAGCCAGGCCTTAAAAAACCTCCAAGGATCGAGAGAGATTCCACCACCTCTCTGGGTAACCTGTTCCAGTTTCACCACCCTCCTAGTGAAAATGTTTTTCCTATAATATCCAACCTAAACTTCCCCTGCTGCAACTTGAGACTGTTGCTCCTTGTTCTGTCATCTACCACCACTGAAAACAGTTTAGCTCAGGGGTTTTCAACCAGGGGTACGCGTAACCCCAGGGGCGCTTGGGATGGCCTCAAAGGGTACTCGGCAATGGGGGATGCCAGCATGCTCCACAGGGGACCGAATGGCCACTGGGGGACCCCTTCCTCAAATGTGTGCTGGGGACCCCCCCCTTCACTGATCGGCCACTGGGAGACACTGACCCCCCCACTTAATGGCCCCCAGGGGACTCCTTTCTTCTTGACCAGCTGCTGGGGGTACACCAACCCAAAGAGGTTGAAAACCCCATGTCTAGCTCCATCCTTTTCTGACCCCCCAGCTTCACGTAGATGAAGGTTGCTATTAAGTCCCCCCCAATCTTCTCTTCTCCAGATTAAATAAGCCCAGCTCGCTCAGCCTCTCCTCACAAGTCATTCTCCAGCCCCATCACCGTTTTTGTTGCCCTCCGCTGGATTTGCTCCAATCTGCCCACCTCCTTTGGGGGGGGGGGGGGGCACAAAACTGGACACAGTGCTCCAGACATGGCCTCCCCAGCACCAAACAAAAGGAAATAATCATTTCCCTCACCCTGCTGGCAATGCTCACACTAACGCAGCCCAGCACGCCATTAGCCTTCTTCACAACCGGGGCAGTGCACTGTTTAGCTGCACTGAAGTGCAAGAGGCCAGTCTTTTCAGACAAGATAAAAGGGAAAAACAAACCCAAACAGTAACAAGCCTACCACACGCCATCAGGAGATGCTGCCTGGCTTCCCACCGCCGCAGCCCAGCCGCATTAACCCCCTTCCCCTGCCACGGGTCCGCTCAGGCGCAGCACGGCGAGGGCTGGAAGGCAGCACCCGGCGGAGGAGGACTGGAGCACCCCCACCCGCTGGAGTCAAAACCCGTCAGGCCGCTGGAGCGCGCAGCCAAAACCCGAGGCGCGGACAAGCCAGGGCCCTGCACGGCCGCCAAGCTCCAGGCAGCCCGGCCCGAGCCCACAGAGACGTGAGGCTAGCAGGAACCGAGCGCAGCCGGGCCTCGAACCTGCGACCTCCCCCCCCCCCCCCC